TTTTTTTTTTTTTTTTTTTTGTTTTTTTACGTAGCTATTATTATTATTATTTTGGTGAAAACACAAATAAGAAAACAAAAAGAGAGAGAAAAAGAGTTAAATGAGGTAAAGAAAATATATGAAAATAAATTGATTAATCAAGGATTACCTACCTTATTGATATTATGCCACATTAGCGGTTGACATATTAAAACTTGTCCGCCGTAGATAGGGGAGCATAAACGATTAAAATACCAAATAGCAGTCAACAAATAAACAAATATAAAGTAACAATTATTAGCTTAAAATGCAACATTTAAATTGGTAGTTTTTATACTTTATTTTTCTGTCATTGATTAGTTGCAATTTAATGAATATAGTCATTTTCTTTTATTTTTATATATATGTTTATATGAATTATTGTATTTGTTAATTCCATAGTACAACAAATTTAATGAATATGGCCATTTTATTTTATTTTTATATATATGTTTATATAAATATTTGTTAATTCAATAATACAACCGATATTACGGGTTTAAACACTGACCTTTGCCATAAATAAGAGCTGAGAATTTGAGATCACACGTAAATGTCACACCTAAAACACGGTGCGCTTGTTTATACGTCAAGGTCAAGATGTATTAACATTATCTTATTCCTATTATCCAGAAATTAAGGTGACAAATATATTTTGGGCTTTTGGCCCATAGTAAAGGAGCATACTGGGCCCATATCAAATTAACAAAAGGGCCAATTCACAGATAATTAAAAGAGTTACTGACTCATGTTATATGTGTAACATATATACATGGCATAAATGATAAATGTATATTAATTTGAACTACACAAAAGAATACTGCCAAGCCTCTACATTTATGAAAACTGGTTGTGTTGTTTGAAAATATGTTTTTGGAATCAAATTAGAGGTTTGAAAATTGCAATTTCAGTTATTTTTACATATAAAAAACAACTAAAGGCTGTGTTTGGTTACCAAATAAACTAGATTATATCTTATTTGGTCAAACTTATAAGCTTTTTGTATTAAAATAAGTTTGTTTAGTAAGACGAGCTTTTATAAAAAGCTCGAGCTAATCTCATAATATTCATTGGGTAGCTTTTCAAATACACTCGTTGAAATTTTTAATTTAATAAGCTTATCAGCTAATTTTAACAATCACTTTTATCGTACAAGCTAGTTTTTTTTTTAGCTATAGCCTATAAGTGATAAGTTATATGCTCTCGAAAATCACTTATTAATTATAACTTAGTTTATCAGCTATGAAAACACACTAATATGATAATTGAATTAGTTATCTCATCCACTATGAAAACACAAAATATCAGTTATCCGCTAAGTGACTAATTTAGAGTCCGAACTGACTTCTAGTTCGATGGGCTTTCTACGAAATGGACTGGATACTTATCGAATATCTATTACCCAGCCCATATATGAATAACCTGCAATAAACAGGGCCGCAAAGTCAACAATATTATGAAGGCTGGGCCTGGCCCATAAACAGGCTACTTGGTTGGAACGTCATCCTCTCAGAATCGAAATTTGAAAAAACACCAAAATCTCGAAGTTTTCAAAATTCACTCTTGTTTAATGCCGAAAAACCCTTCTTCTTCCAGGGTTTTACCGAAGAATAAATCCTCGAAATTGGGCGTCAATGGCGCTCGAAAGAAGAAACCAGCGAGGAGGTCTCGTTCAATGGCGGAAAAGGAAATCGAAGTGATTGAGATAGACGACTCTTACCCTTCTCCCGATCGAAAGGTCACGCCTTTGAGACCCATTTACTGTCTGAGGAACAGGGACCAGATAAAGATGGCCGAGGCAAACGAGGAGTGTTTCATCCTCGAGTTCGATCCGTACGATGATATGCAGAGGTTGAGGTCTCCATTGATGGAGGACTGTGATGATGCCGAGGTCGATTTGCAGGTGGTTGCTGAAAAGGGGCAGGTGATTGAATGGATCATTTCTACTTTATGTGAACATCTATGTTTTTTAGTTCTACGTTGTTCGTTGTTTTGCTAGATGGCGTTGATATTGATTTTCGTGGATATCGTGAGTGCTTCTTTTTGTCTGGGTTCAGTTAGCAGTTTTTTAGGGAAATGATGATGATATACTGCTATGAAGTTATGAAATTTGGGAATTGGGGTTCATATTTTCATTCTTAATATTGCGAAAATGGAGTTTCTTTTAGTTTCACTGCTCGAGTTATTGGCCTTTTTGTGGTAATTGTGTACTGATGAGATATCGTCGATTTTATATTCTCGTAAAAATATGTTTAAATTCAAAATTTTCAATGCTTTTGATGGTGGCCATGGTATGAATAAAGAGCTGGTTTCAGTTTTTGGTGAAGAAAAAGAAGAATTTTTTGCGTCACTAAGGCTTCGTTCAATTGATTAATCGAGAAAGAGATCGAAAAGATGCCTCATTGGTTTGTTAATAAGAGCGAAAGAAGACACGCTACAATTAATCGACGACCTTAAGACACAATTTTAATTCAATGATATTTGGCTTTTAGAGCACCTGTTAGTTGTGAGTATTGTCTTGTGTTTCATTGCTTGTGTACATATATATCTTGCAGCTGACTTTTATGAAAGCCATAAGCTTTTAGACATTAATTTGTCATTTATCTATCTTCTTTATACAGTTATATTATATT